CGTGTTCCCTTTTTTACTCTGCGGATTCGCTCCTCCATCCCGCTGGGGGGGGAGTGAGCGAGCGGCTGTGTGGTGCTGAGTTGCCGGCTGGGGTTAAACCACGACAATGACGGAAGACCTACACAAGATGCTCCTTTCTGGAGGGAGACGTGGAGACCACCAAGCAGCACCAGCACCTTTGTTTAAGTGATGAATCCCAGCCGGTCTGTTTGCTTTAGGGTGACCGGATCACTCTCTTAAGTGCCGGCGACTGTCCTGACAAGATTTCCGTTGGCCACGATGAAAACTTACACAAATGAGAGCACATGTAGGCACCTACTTGTGGGCACCTAAATGCGTCTTGGCTTTGAACTGAATGCCAGCCAGGCTGTCAGCACAGGCCAGCGGAGGGGGGAGGCGTAGCCAAAGGGGATGTGAAAAGGAGGAGAGGAAGCACAACTCCAGTTTTTGCTAGCGCGGCTCATGCCAGTAGGGATTCCCACGGGACGGGGTAGGCAGCGCGCAGCACAGTCACCAAGGGAATGAGAAGATACCACACAGCTGTTTTAATTCAAGTCACGTATGGGAGCACGGGGACAGTGGAGCATAGCCATCATGGAAGAAAATACAGGTTCATTCGCTTTCCAGCCATCTGAGGAAACAAACAGGCCAAATGAGTTCGGATTCCATCCCGCGGCCTTCGGGTACCTAGGAAACCGGGGCATGACATCATCCGGCGGAAAGGAGACAGCAGCTCCTACGGCCTCTGTGATGCTGTAAGAAACCGTCACTTCTCTACACAGTGGGGAAGCTTCTGTTTTTAAGACAAAATTTGGTCAGTCAGTGCTTACAATGCGCGATTGTCCGAAAGTTGCAAGAAAGTATACGGAAATTACAGCACTTCAAAAGCTAACTTTGAAAGAATTTCTTTCTCCGAATAATTTCATCATTGAATAGTGGTAGAAGATGTGGACCCACGCTGTGGAGGCACAACCTAAAGGAGCAGGTGGGGCCGCCGGTCAGTTTGATTTACCGAAGTGGCGATCACCCCACGCTGTACCCCTAAAGAGCTCTTTATTTAAGGCATTGGCAGGTTTCCCCTCAGCGTGCATGTGCCAAACCGCAACTAAAAGCTTAGCATTTAACCACGGAAGGAAAGTATTGAAAGCAATGCATGATTTTACACTAAAAACACTAGAGCTATAATTAAATCCGCTCTTAAATGAGTGTAACTCATTTTAGGGCTGAAATAGCACTCTTTATTTTAAGCACCTCTGGAGAAAGAGGAGGAGAGAGGTTGGGTGGATCCCTTAAAAGAAACATTTTCATGTCAAGGTTTGGAAACTCCTTTCAGCGTACTGAACAGTCACCACGGCTGTCTGTAAGCATTGGTGCTTGTCCTTTCGCTGCTGCCTGAATTCTCGCCTCGTTTGGCCTCCCGCAGCCGGCTGAAAGCCCGTCTTCGACCCGGCAGCAGCTGTGCCGCGGTGCGGGGAGGACGGGACAACGGGGGCTGGGGCGTACGCGGGCGCAGGACGGTGCCTGGGGCTCAGGGAGCCCCGAGGACCGGCGGGCGGCGGTGCCGGCCGCCCGGC